AAGACAACCAAGGCAGAGCAGTGACATGAAAACTCAGAAAAGAAAGAGCATCTAGGAGGAGAGGGTAGTCAACATTGTGAAATGATGGCAACACATCGAGAAAAGACCATCATTTTGGCAAAGGGATCATCATTTACTTTGGTGAGAGCAATTTGAGTTGGATATGAAGTTTGAAAATAGATTGCAAAGGGCTGAGGGAGTCAGTCAGTGAATGAGTGGGTGAAAGGAGATGAATTGGAAGCAATGAGTCTAGACAGTATTTTCTGGTTGTTAAACAGAGGAAAGATATAAGATATATGCTTGAAAGGTCAATAGAGGGAATTAAAAGGCTAGAGAAAGTCTGGTGTATAAGGAGGAAGCTGGTAGATGAAGATTAGAGAAAAGGAATGATTGTGTGGATAGTCTGCTGGGGGAGGATAGAAGAGGTTGAGATCAAGGGTACAAATACAGAGTCAGCCTTGATGAAAAGAGTCATGGCTTCATCAAAGACTGGAGTAAAGGAGGAGAAAATGGGAGAGAACATTACAGGAAAAAAAATCAGCAGGGCTAAATTGTGTTTCCTACATGGGAGCTCCTTTTTTGCAATATCTCTTCTTGCTCATCTTTTCATCAATAGTATATATATTTGCTGAAGAGCATGACCTAGCTTTATGGAAGACCTCTGTAATATAAATCCTCATGGTATGCTACTTCAGACCACGTTTTTGTTCTGATCTATGTCTTTGAACTGATTACTGAAAGGTAAGCACATTGATGATGGTGGTTAGTGAGCTTTAGTTTTAGAAGTTCTGATCTACAGAGTATCTTAAATCTGGGGTAGTCCTTTTCTGAGGAATCAAACTGGCTTGTGTGAGGTGGGAGTGTGGATGGGAATAGCCCAGAGGGACTCACCATAGAAACAAAGAAATGGATACAAGAGACATTCTTAAAGAACAGCAATAATAAAAATAGCTGATGTTTATATAGGCTTTAAGGTTTACAAAGCCTTTACATGGATTCTCTCATTTGCAAGAAATCTTTGAAGAACTAAGAGCTATAAGAGACTTTGTAGGTCAATCTAGTGCAGCCCTTTCATTTTAAAGAAGAGGACACTGAAACTCTGAGAGATTAAATAACTTCCCTAAAGTTACATAAGAGCCACCACTTCTCATTCCCATCCTTATCATTTCTACTCCCCCACCACCCCCTAGCTATGTACATGCTGCTCCCAATGTATTTCAAGGATACACAATATTTGTTAATCTAGCCTTGACAATCCTAGACTTTTTTTCCTCCTGCTCCTTCCAACTAATCAATGGCCTTCATAGAGCTGTCCATTGAAGACAGTGATTGTTAAATTTTTAGTGAGCATTTATACTTCAGAAATCAGCTAAAACTACAAATCCTGGTTTTTGCTTGTTTTGTTGATTGTCTAGATTTAAGGAAGTGATGGAGCAAATGTTAATAATGCCAATTAAAGGTAAAAGTGTGTAAAACAAACATCCTCCCAGTCCCTGGCTGATTGTTAAACATTTACCAGCAATTCCTCCCAGAAGACACTACGTATCAGGATATCCATTCTTGTACTTGATTGTGCCTTCTCTCAAACCCTTAAAAGACTGGTCTGTAGGACCTTGCTCCCTGTCGCTAATTCTAGACCTCCCAACATGCGGCGACTTCTCCTTTGAGGTTCGTTTTATAAGCTGAAATCCTAAGATAACTGCCAGACTCCTTCAGAGTTATGATTAGTTTTACTATGTATTTAACATACATACTTACAGCCATTGCTTTTATACACAAGCTACCATGCATATCATATTTTCTGTTTTAACACAACTGAAAATTGGGAAGAGTATTGGTTATTTATGTTGGAAGGCAAAAATTGAACAGTTATATATTTTTCATTGACTGTACAATGGAATGAGTTTTAGAGATTTTTCTATCCAGGGAACAATTCTTTTGAGAATGGATTAAGACAGGCCTGCACAACATATAGCTGCAGGCCACTTGTGACCTGCCAAAGGATTTCAGCAGCCTGCGAAAAATGTAGGGGATGTAAAAGAAAGTAAAAGATGTAATGAGTACTTTGTCCATGTCCCACTTAACCTGCCTTCCACTAGTCACTATTGTGCCCATCGTGTAACTTGGCAGGTGGGTTGCCACTGTGCACTCTCTCCTGTTTGTCACGTGACCCATGGCAACCAACCATCGTCAGTCTGTCTCTAGTCTGAGAGGAGCAAGAGTCGTGTTTTTGATCATTACTGGTGTTAAACAGGGACAAAGTGAGTGTAACCCCATGCCAACACAGCTGACCCCCACTATGTAATGAGTGGCAACAATGTGAGGGCTTCTTTCTTTCCCTCGCTGCATGACCGCCCTCTAAGTTACATGAGTGCCTGTTGTTCTCTACAAGGTCAGACACTAAGTTCAGTATTTCTTTGTATGTGAGCAGTTGCTTTGGAGTGACTTTGTAAAATGGGTGATAAAAAGAAATGGAAGATCAAATCAGAACAGAGAGTGTTTAATCCAGTGTGGACAAGTAGATATTTATTTACTTACATGAGAGACAAAATATTGTGCCTTATTTGCCAACAAATAATAGCCGTTCGGAAGGAATACAATCTTCGTCACCATTTCGAATCAAAACATCCTGACTTAAACAAACACCAATGAAAAACAAATTAAAGCATCCAAATTGTTGAAAAATCTCAGTGGGGAAGAATAGTTTCTTAAGAAAGTAAACTCCGAAAGTGAGGTGACTACTAAGGTTAGTTTCCAGATTTCTAAAGAAATTGCTGCTGCTGAGAAGTCTTTTATTGAAGGTAACTTCATAAAGAAATGTTTGCTGATTGTAGTTTCTGGATTAAGTCCCGCTCGGCAAAGTAATTTTTTTTTAACATTAATATGATTTCATGATAAATAAAAATCTTAAGTAATTAGTGTAATTAATTGATATTAATTGAAATTTTCCTTTTTGAAAATATGGTTTATTAGAAAAATAGTTTAATCATTAATTATATCTTTACTTGGAAAGTGAGCTGCTAAAAACCTATCTGTAGCCTGAAGTTGTTTATTTTAATTTTGGCCCCTACCTACTGCCAAGTTTTGCAGGCCTGGTATAGAGTAAGTGGTAACATTGTTAATTAGAGACAAAGGGACAAATCTGCGAATTTTTAAAAGATGAAACAGTGAGATTTGTGAAGTTTGGGATACACAGAATGAACAGAGAGAATAATCAAAGATATGTCAATAGTTTATGACAGAGCTGCACAACTTGGCAGTAGGTAGGGATGAAAATGAAAATAGGCTAAACTTCTCTGGGCTGCAGACAGGTTAGACTAGAGACAGAATGATGATGGTTCGTTGCCATGGGTCACATGACAAACAGGAGAGAATGTGCAGTGGCAATCCTACATTTTTTACAAGCCACCCGAAATCCTTTGGTGGCTTGCAAGCAAGCTGCAGGCCATATGTTGTGCAGGCCTGCTCTATACTAAGGATTTTAACTTTTTTGTATGTGTTGGAGAACCCTTCGGCAGTCTAACAATGCCCATGGATCCTATCCCAGAATAACGTTTTTCAATAATTCAAGGAAATGCTGTTTCAGTTAGAAGTTGATGAAAATAAACGTGATTTTTTCCCCCTTTCAAGTTTGTACGTCCCCTGAAATCTATCCATGGACCTCAGGTTCAGAATACCTAGTCTACACCCATATCATCTTACTCCTGGATAGCTAAACTGACCTCCTATGTATATTCAGCATATGGCTACTACACTAATTTCCCTAAAACATTTCTTTGAAAATACACCCCAAATTTTACACTGCTTCTCTGTTACATAATATGTCAAACCCAAACCCTTCTAATCATGTTTTCAAGGCCTCACTTTATCCACCTTCACTTTCCAATACTATACAACATAACCTTCTATTACCGTTAAGTCAGGTCTCTCTATTGGCCTCCCCCTATAGCATATTTCAAAGTCTATCAAAGCTTAAAGTTTAAGTTATTAAAGCTTAAAACTGCATAAGACTTTGAGATACCTTGTATATGGAAAACTTTTATCTGTCTCTTTGCATTTACTTGTTACTCACTTGTTACCCTTGAATACTATCTGTCCTTTGTTCTGTCTCCTGAATCCTACCCATTATTAAATGGGGATCAAGCCACGTGTCTTACAAGAAGTCCATTCTACTTACCTTTGTAGTAAGTACCAAAAAGTTTAATCCAGAATTGAACACTATTTCATTGAGTGTTACTTTTTTTTCTCCAATTACACTGTAAATTCTTTGAGGACAGGGATGAAGAGGGCAAGAACTTATTTCTATCTGTCTTTGTATGACAAATATACAAAAAAATAATGACTAGCACATAGTTAAAACTTTATAAAAATATTTGCCAAATGAATGAATCCCATATCTGGATATGCACAAAACATGGTCAAGACATTATTGGGCATATACATGATGCACAATAAATAATCTCTGAACAAAGTTTGGATTTTATACATATAGTATAGTAAAATTTTCTTAAGGTGTTTCCTAGAAAATATTTTCACTAGCTAAATCTTATAAATATACATCCATGTATTCCAAAATGTATTATTTACATAAAAGAACTTGTATTAAACCACTGTGTCAACTAAATAACAGAAAGTACATGGGTTCACAGATTTAAAGCTAGAAGGACCTTAGAAACCTGTTTTGTTCAACCTACCTTGTTTTACAGACAGGGAAACTGGGGCCCAGAAAGTTGAAATGACTTGTTCAAGGTCATTGAAGAAGTAGCTTACAGAGTCAGAATTTGAAGCCAGATCTTTGGATTCCATATACAGTATTCTTTCCACTGTGCCAAACTATTTACTATTGTCTATTACCCTAATTTTAAATTGTTGTAAGATAATTTCTCATGAAAAATTTATTACAGTTTGTAATGTCTACATATCTCCACGTAAGGAGTACTACTGAAAATACTCTTTATGACATAACAAACAGAAAGAAAATAATAAAATGTTCAACTTACTGCTTTATCTCCCAGAGCAGTTTTGAGACTAAGTCTCACTTTAAAAGCATTTTCTGCATCTGCCATAAAAAAAGAGAAACAATAGAACAAAACTAAACTTTCCAACGGTTAAAAACACAAACTTGAATCAAATACAGCTGAAACAAACAAACAAACAAAAAAACCCAACACATCAATATTCCTGGAATGCACCTCCACACTGTAGATTTTCACTAGAAAGTTTCTTATAATTATTTTAGACCATCAGTTTCAAAGTTTGTTTAGGGCTCATAAAATAGACATAGGTTATGCTATAATATACATGAAGATTACTGAAATAGATTGTCAAGCTAGCAAGTATGTTAATCATGGAGAAAGCTGTTATCTTATTTTCAAGACTTAGGGAAGCTTACCTGGTCGACAGAGCTGAGCATGAATAACAGTAACCAGACACAAGGTAGGAAACAAAGCCACTAACATCCTGCCAGAGTGGAAACCTTAAGGCGAAGGGAAAAAAACCTACCACTGTAAGGCAGTCTTCAACTTTCTGTGACCCAGGATTAGAATATCAGATCAACAAATGAGCCACCAACTAAAAGGTTTAATAATTAATTCACATCACTATAGCTAATACAGTTGTGGATGCAGACCTCCCCTGTCAGTTATTTACTAAAATCTGTTTGGAAAAAGGAGATGGGTTTTTCTTCCCAAACTCTCCTCTAAAACATTTGTTGTACTGACCAAAATTCTTCATTTTTATTTTTTTAACTCATGGTTCAACTTAATGTATTTGGCAAAGAAAAGAACTCTATAAGAAAATGTTCTTGGGTTCAGCTTGGTATTTGATGGTTAAGATAGTTCGTTATTAGATAGGACATATGAATTTACCAAATTCTTTCTCACTTTTTCTGTTGTTTTTTTTTCTTTTTTTTTGGGGGGGGATTAGGATTAAGTGACTTGCCCAGGGTCACACAGCTAGTAAGTGTTATGTGTCTGAGGCTAGATTTGAACTCAGGTCCTCCTGACTCCAGGGCTGGTGCTCTATCTACTGCGCCACTTAGCTGCACCCTGGGTATTCTCTTAAAGCCAATTGGACTTCACCCTTAGCTGCACTGGTCAAAATGGAAAAATTAGAAGATGAATAGAATATGCTGCATTTGGAGCTAGTGTCCCAGTAGTATGTATACGTTCAAATTTAGAATAAAAAAAAACCTTGTCTATCAAATTTGTCAAACCATAAATATTAGGAGACACATAGAATATGCTGCATTTGGAGTCACAGTACATAGTACATGTACTAAATACAAAGTCCGTGTTTAAACTTAAAATGGAAAAAAAACCCTAGTCTGACAAATTGGTCAAAACAGAAAAATTTCTTTAGAAGAAGCTGTAATGAATATGCTGCACTCGGAGTCAGGAAGTCTTGGGTTCTACTCACACTTCAGATATTACCAGCTTTGTGATATAGGACATGTCACTCAACTTCTATCAATTTCACTTGCCTTATTTCCAAAACGAAGATAAAGACATCTGCTTCATAAGGTTTTTGTGAGACTCAAATGAAATAACTAGGTTAAGCGCTTTGTAGATCCTAAAGTTCTGGATATGTAGATAAAGTATCTAGATATGAACTACTGTTATTATTAGAAACAAAGTAAGAGCCAGAGATATGAAATGCAGGGGTCTACAAAGAATTAAAAATTAGTATCATACAGAGAGCAATGTAAAGGCACATGGTTAGTGTGACCAGGTTACAACATAAAACCAACGAAAAACCCTGAAGAAAAATGGGAGTAAAAGATGTCATGGAGGAATATTTTGAAAGGAAGAGACGATGGGCTAGTCATGTAGTAAGGACAAGGGACTATAAGTGAACAGCCAGAGGGCTCTACTGTTACCCTCCAAATGTCAGAAGAAAGTGTGACAGGCCTCCAATATGTTGGTTAGACTTCAGAGGAGTCTCAGAGGATGAGTAGGCATAGATGGGCTTTTGTTTTTTATTTAATATTTTATTTTTTCCCAATTACATGTAAAAACAATTTTTAACATTTAAAAAAATTGGGTTCCAAATTTTCTTCCTTCCCCTTTACCTCCTCCCTCCTTGAGAAGGCAAGCAATTCGTTATGAATTATACAGTGCAATCATGGAAAACATATTTCTACCTTAGTCATGTTGTGAAAGAAAACACAACTCCTCCAAAAAAAAAAAAGAAAGAAGGAAGTTAAAAAAGTATGCTTCAATCTGCATTCAGACTCCATCAGTTCTCTCTCTGGAGGTAGATAGAATTTTTCATTATGAATCATGGATGGGTTTCAATCTGCATCTTTGGAGGGAATTTCCAAACTGATAAGATCACAGATTAGTACCTGAGAAATGGAAAGAGCGCTGGCTTAAATTCTGGTTCTGCTATTTGCTACCTGCGTGACAATATTTCTGGGCCTCAGTTTTCTTGAGGGGATTGAATTTCTAAGGTCTTGAGGGGTTGACTTCTAAGGTCTCTTCCAGCTCAGAAGCTGTTTTCATGCTACCATCTTACAAGTGAGAATACTTTATAACAATATTCTTTTTGCATGTCAAAAACTAAACTCTCTCGATTGAAGGGTGCAAGCAAAGTAATTTTTGCTCTTAGGGCAAAAGGCAGGAGAACTACCCTCAGTTGGGGATGAGGGGAAGGAGTGAAAACAGAAACTGGGAAATTTACTTAGGTCACTATGTGAAGGTTGGAGAGAGGAGAAACCAGAAACTAGGTGTTCAAATGAAAGGTTGTAACTATTACAGTAGTAGAGGAGGGTGTGCTAAAAACCTTAATCAGGTTGGTGGTCCTGTGAAAGGAAAGAAGGTGCGACACATGAGAGATGTTTATTATTTATTAAGCACCAGCTATGTACTAGGCAGTATGCTAAGCACAATGTGTACGTAGAAGTTCGAAGGGAGAATCGACGGTATTTGGTAACTGATTAGATATGGTGAAAAACAAAGAGGGAAGAATTTAGGATGGCACCAAAGTTGTGTGCGTAGATGACCAGAAGTATAGTGAGTGATTCTCCTTCCTCCTTTTATGATTACTTAAAATTTTATTTGATCATCTAATAGGTAATGGAGTTTTCCACCAACTCGTATAAACATTTTCATAAGCTTCACAAGCATTTTTTTAGATGCTGCCTATGTAGGAGCCTTATCAGTGGAGTTAGCTGTCTTTTGGGTTGCTTGATTAGCCATTTTTACTTCTTTCATATCCTAGACGGCTCTTACATTGAGCCTTTTGAATTTCAGGATTCTGATATCACTTAGCTCTTATATCCTCCAGAGAGGTGCCAGCAATGATAACCCTTTGAAATTTAACAGCTCTGTGAGTTATTTTTTTTTAATTTCTTCTATCTTTTCTTGTGCCTTCTTTTGTATGGAACAATTCAATAGATCAAAAACAGAGAAATCTGGAGAAATGGGTTTATTTATTTGTTTGTTTTTAGTTTTTAACATTCATTTTTATAAGATTTTGAGTTCTAAATTTGCCACCATCCTTCCTCTTCCCACTGCTCAAGACGGCATGCAATTTGATATAGGCTATACGTGCACAATCATATTAAACCTATTTTCACATTAGTAATGTTGTGAAAGAAGAATCAGAACAAAAGGGGAAAACCATGAGAAAGAAAAAAAGAGAGAAAATAGTATGCTTCAATCTGCATTCAGATTCCATGGTTGTTTCTCTGGACGTGGATAGCATTTTCCAGCATGAGTCTTTTGGAATCGTCTTAGATCCTTGTATTGCTGCAAAGAGCTAAGTCTATCAAAATTTGTCATTGCACAATGTTGGTGTAACTCTGTACAATGTTCTGGTTCTGCTCACTTCAATCAGCATCAATTCATATAGGTCTTCCAGGTTTTTCTGAAATCTATCTGCTCATCATTTCTTATGGAACAACAGCATTCCATTACATTCATACATACACCACAACTTGTTTAGCCATTCCCCAACTGATGGGTATTCCCTCAATTTTCAATTCTTTGCCACCACAAAAAGAGATTCTATAAATATTTTTGTACAAGTGGGTCCTTTTCCCTTTTCTATGATCTCTTGGGGATACAGACCTGGTAGCGGTTTTGCTGGATCAAAGGATATGCACAGTTTGGTTGCCCATTAGGCATAGTTCCAAATTGTGCTCCAGAATGGTTGGATCAGTTCACAACTCCATCAATACTGCATTAGTGTTCCAATTTTCCCGCATCTTCTCCAGCATTTATCATTTTCCTGTTTGTCATGTTAGCCAATCTGATAGGTGTCATATGGTACCTCAGAGTTTTTTTAATTTACATTTCTCTAATCAATAGTGATTTAGAATATTTTTCATATATTTATAGATAGGCTTTAATTTCTTCATCTGAAAACTGCCTTTTCATATCCTTTGACCATTTATCAATTGGGGAATGACTTATATTCTTATAAATTTGACTCAGTTCTCTATATATTTTAGAAATGAGCCCTTTATCAGAGACACTGGATGTAAAAATTGTTTTCCAGCTTTCTGCTTCCTTTCTAATCTTGGTTGCATTGGCTTTGTTTGTTCAAAAACTTTTCAACTTAATGTAATCAAAATTATCCATTTGGCATTTCATAATGTTTTCTATCTCTTGTTTGGTCATAAATTCTTCTTTTCTCCATAGATCTGACAGGTAAACTATTTCTTGCTGTCCTAATTTGCTTATAGTATCAGCTTTTATGTCTAAGTCATGTACCTGTTTTGACCTCATCTTGTATATGGTGTAAGATGCTGGTCAATGTCTAGTTTCTGCCATAATATTTGCCAGTTTTCCCAGCAGTTTTTGTCAAATAATGATTTCTTATCCCAGAAACTGGAGTCTTTGAGTTTATCAAATAGTAGATTACTACAGTCCTTGACTACTGTGTCTTGTGTACCTAACCTATTCTACTGATCTACCACTCTATTTCTTAGCCAGTACCAGATAGTTTCGAGGATTGCTGCTTTATTAATACCATTTTAGATTTGCCATGGCTAGGCCACCTTCTCTAGCATTTCTTTTCATTAATTGCCTTGATATTCTGGACCTTTTGTTCTTCCACATGAATTTTGTTACTATTTTTTATACCCCTATAAAATACTTTTTTGGTAGTTTGATTGGTATGGCACTGAATACATAAATTAATTTAGATAGAATTGTCATTTTTATTATATTACCTTGGCCTACCCATGAGCAACTGATATTTTTCCAACTATTTAGATCTGATTTTATTTGTGTGGAAAGTGTTTTGTAATTGTGTTCATATAGTTCCTGGGTTTGTCTTGGTTTGCCTACAGTTATTTTAAATGGAATTTCTCTTTCTATCTCTTGCTGCTTTGTTAGTAATATAAGAAGTGGGTTTGGAGGAAAATAACAAGTTCCCTCTTGGTTATATAGAGAATTTGAGATGCCTACAGGGCATTCAGGTGGTGACGCATGACTGAGCCTCAGGAAGGAAATTGTGTGTGTGTGTGTGTGTGTGTGTGTGTGTGTGTGTGTGTGTATGTCTCTCCGGGTATACCCACACATGTA